CCAGTGCTTACTCAAGGAATGCCGGCAGCTGAAGCAGCAATCCTGGAAACTGGAGGCGAGGCAGAGCCGGTTAGAAAACCAGAAGCAGCAGCTGGAGCAGGGACAGTGGTTTGTGCAGAGCTTGCTGCGTGGCAGGCAACAGCTGCAAAAAAGGCGGAATGGATGCCCTCGGGGCCAGGGTGCCCCCCAGACTGCACCGAGTCAAGGAAAAACAGCCCACAGTAATTCTTGTAGTTCCTAATAGGGAACACTTGTGAATTCACATTGTCATGGCAGAGCTTAAGTATTGCTACAAATGATCAGGTGCTTTTTCCTAGCAGTCTTGTGAAGTGACCTGCTTCCTTTAACTAATTCTTTATAAAATGTCCTTATGTTGATAAAAGACATTCCACAAATTCTCAACTAACCTAACAGACATCACCATCTGCCAAACACCCACCCATTAAACTACCCCCCAAAACACCAGCTTGAGGAAGTGAATGCAAAACAATTTAGGTTCACCTAGCCACGTTAGATTTCTTTATAGAGAAAATACCAGCAAAGACAGAATATCAGACTGAACAGTGCTTTCTGCTCTATAAACAAAGATCAGCTCATTTGTATTCCTTTTGGCTAACTTAGCAGAAAAAGTTCCTTTTACAAGTTTCTGCCAGTGGTCAGACAGCTCCTTTTACCAATTTCTCACGCATGAAAAAGTTACCTGGTAACAGCAAGCTCACTAAAAGCTAGGTAGACTTTTTCATCTTAACTGTGAATAAAATGAACATATATGAGGAGTTGCATGGGGACATCTATTAAATTGCCTCCTACCAAACCATTTTCTTTGAAAAAAAATCTTTTTAGCTTAAACAGGTGATAGGATGCCTCTGCTTGTTTCAGGAAAATTTACCAAAAATATTTAGACTTAAGAATTTTTTTTTTCAGACTGAAGAATCTTGCGCCACCCCTTTCCTCACCAACATTCTAAATTTAAAGATAGGGAAAATGCTTAAAATGTTATATATACATAACAACTGTTGTCATTTGATGTCATCCATTTATCCCAGGTGCAATCTACAGTACACCAAGTTCCTGTGGCAATGTACGGCATCCATTTAGGCCCATTTAATAGAAATTTATATAGACTTTTAAGGCAGTTTTTTTTTTAACGTTTTTTGACAAAGTGAGGTATGCCCAATAACTTATTTATTTATTTATTTAAGATTTATTTTTATTACAAAGTCAGATATATAGAGAGGAGGAGAAATAGAGAGGAAGATCTTCCATTCAATGATTCACTGCCCAAGTGAGCACAACGGCTGGTGCTGTGCCAATCCAGAGCCAGGATCCAGGAACTTCTTCCGGGTCTCCCACACGGGTACAGGGTCCCAAAGCATAGGGCCGTCCTCGGCTGCTTTCCCAGGCCACAAGCAGGGAGCTGGATGGGAACCCATAACTTATTTAAATGCTGAATCCAAACATAACATAAACCCATATTTAACATTGCTCTTCTTTGGGAAAATACAATTAATTTTATTTTCCAGAAATTCTCAGTGATGGAAAACTTGTTTCCTCAATTTTCATTTTTATGTATTGATGCTTTATTTACATGTAAAATCAACTCACTTAAAATGACTTAGGATCCTCTCAATGTGCCTTTTAACAATTTTTGTTAAATATGTAGCAACTTAAGTCATTATACATCCTTGGGTTTTTTTTTTTTTTCCTTAGCCTATTCCAATCGACAACCTGATTGTCCATTATGAGATACGGCTAGAATTATGAAATACTATAAAAGCTGTAAAATTACTTGGAGCTTCTGCGTTACAAATAAATCAACTCAAAGTATGGGCAAAGCAAGTTAAAGAATACATCAGGTGTCCCACTTATATGATTTGGAAATATGTATAATGACACCTTGTTGCTAGATGTGTATATGGACATAAAGATCTGCATAGGGCTGTTAGATATCAGACTTAGGATAGTGTTTCTAGGGGTCCACATGGACTAGAGCTGAATTTTTTTTAATTATCTTATTTTGATAATCTTTACATAGTTGATTAGGGCACAAAGGGTTAAGGGCTAAAAGAAAGTGGTAAGTCCATTCCTTCCACATTTTCTCTTTTTCTGTATTATTATTTTTTTTAAGATTTATTTATTTTTTTTAAGATTTTTTTTTGTTATTATTTTTTTATTGGAAAGGCAGATATGCAGAGAAGAAAGACGGAGAGGAAGATCTTCCCTTCGATGATTCACTCCCCAAGTGAGCGCAACGGCCGGTACTATGCCAATCCGAAGCCAGGAGACTCTTCTGGGTCTCCCACACAGGTGCAGGCTTTGGGCCGTCCTTGACTGCTTTCCTGGGCCACAGGCAGGGAGCTGGAAGGGAAGTGGGGCTGCCGGGATTAGAACCTGCGCCAATATGGGATCCCGGGCATGCAAGGCAAGGACCTTAACCACTGCGCCACCATGCCGGGCCCAAGATTTATTTATTTTTATTGGAAAGACAGATATACAGAGAGGAGGAGAGACAGATCTTCCGTCCGATGATTCACTCCCCCTGAAACCAGGATCCAGGAACAACTTCTGCATACCCCACATGCGGGTGCAAGGTCCCAAGAATTTGGGATGTCTGTGACTGCTTTCCCAGGCCACAAGCAGGGAGCTGGATGGGAAGTGGAGCTGCCGGGATTAGAACCAGTGCCCATATGGGATCCTAGTGCGTTCAAGGCAAGGACTTTAGCTGTTAGGTCATGCCGCCGGGTCCTCTGTATTATTTTTTTAAGGTTTATTTTATTTTATTGCAAAGTAGGATATACAGAGAGGAGGAGAGACAGATGTTTCGTCCGATGATTTACTCCTAAGCAGTCACAATGGCAAGAGCTAAGCCAATCCAAACCCAGGAACCCATAGCCTCCTCCAGGTCTCCCATGTAGGTGCAGGGTCCCAAGGCTTTGGGCTGTCCTCCACTGCTTTCCAAGGCCATAAGCAGGGAGCTGGATGGAAGGGGGGCCACTGGGATTAGAACTGGTGTGTATATGGGATCCCAGCGCATGCAAAGTGAGGACGTTAGCTGGTAGGTCACCTCGTCGGGCCATGGAATTTAGTTAATATTGTGTAAGATGGATATGAATTGATGGATGTTTCTGGTGTCTGAAATCTTTTTTTTTTAATCTTTATTTTTTTAATTTTTTCTTTAAGATTTATTTTTTAAAATTTTTATTGGAAAGGCAGATATACAGAGAGGAGAGACAGAGAGGAAGATCTTCTGTCCGATGATTCACTCCCCAAGTGAGCGCAACGGCCGATGCTATGCCCAGCTGAAGCCAGGATCCAGGAACTTCCGGTATCGTACACGCGAGTGCAGGGTCCCAAGGCTTTGGGCTGTCCTCGACTACTTTCCTAGGCCACAAGCAGGGAGCTAGATGGGAAGTGGAGCTGCTAGGATTAGAACCTGCGCCCATATGGGATCCTGGTGCATTCAAGTGAGGACTTTAGCCACTAGGCCACACGACCGGGCCCTGAAATCTTTTAAAAGTGTTAACTGCTTGGGACCTGGCGTGATAGTGTCGCAGTTAAAGTCTTCACCTTGAACATGCCAGGATCCCATATGGGCGCTGGTTCTAATCCCAGCAGCTCCACTTCCCATCCAGCTCCCTGCTTGTGGCCTGGGAAAGCAGTCACAGGCAGCCCAAATTCTTGGGACCCTGCACCCACATGGGAGACTTGGAAGAAGTTCCTGGCTCCTGGCTTTGGATTGGCTCAGCTCCAACCATTGCAGCCACTTGGGGAGTGAATCATCAGATGGAAGATCTTCCTCTTTGTCTCTCCTCTTGTCTATATATCTTTGTAATAAAAATAAATCTTTTTAAAAAAAAAAGTGTTAACTGCTTGTATAAGGAACCTTTCTTATGTCATCTTAAGCTTGTATTTTCCTCACCCTATAGTGAAAAGCATTTACAGAAATGGCAGGAGTGACAGAGATCTTCCATGCACTGGTTCACGCCCTAAAAGGCAGCAACAACCACGGGCTTCACCTTGGTTTCCCCACACACACCACGCAGCAGGGGTCCAAGCCCTGGGCCATCCTCTGCTGCTTTCCCAGATGCTAGATCAGAAGTGGAGCAGCTCAGACCCAAATCAATGTTTTTATAGGATACCAGCATTACAGGCAGTGGTTTAACTTCATGTGCCATAATGCAAGCTCCTAGACCTTTATTTCCTGCTTACTGGTTGGGAAGTAGCTCTTCCTCATAATGGCATGTAGTAATCTTTCATTTCATGCCCTCCAATCCCTCTGAGTCCCATCTTCCTGGTATCTAGCCAGAGGAAGGGAAACAAAAGCAAAGAGGTGTACTCTCATCCTTAACAGCTCCATCCGGCAAGCAGCACCCATCATGCTCAGATTCCATGGGAAGGATGTTGGCTGACTAGTTCTTCACCACAGAGGAGAGGAATTAGGGGCACAACTGGGAAACGTAATCTAGCCATGTGTCCTCCTAGGCAGGGGATTTTGGTAGAAGGCTGGGAGTCCTTCATGAACACCTGCAGTATCTACTGTTACCTGTGCTGCAGTAAACATCCTTGCTCACAGCTCTCGATGTACCTGGGCAATAGGAGGGTCTCTGTATACACCGAAGATGGGGAAGTATATCAATGACAGCAGGTACTGCCAAGCTGTTTGCTTTGCTCCACAACCTACATAGAGCTAATACTGTTGGACTTCATTTGTTAGTCAATTAAAAAAAAAATTTTTTTTTAAAGTCTCTCTCAGTGTGATTAGGATTATCCATGTTGAGTTCTGCTGATCTCTGATCTTACAAAGAAAAAAGGATCCTAAAAGAGCCTGGGCAAGTTTCCCATTGTGATTGATTTAATTCTCGGATGGCAGATTTCAAGGGTGAAAAAGATTACTGCACAACTGCCTTTGGAACGGAGTCTGAGCTCCTCCCTATCGCTTCCCAGCTTCTACCCCAGAGTGTCACCAGGAGTCAAAGAACAACTGCGAACAGGATTCTAACAAGTGTCATTTATTTCTTTTGTCATTGCCAAACATTCCCCAAGTCTTACTCACCAGAAATAAACATAGCTTCTTCATCTTTCCTCCCTGACAACCTTCATGGACTGAAAGGGCTTTAAGGGGTAACTTTGAATGGTGTAGCTCAGATACACCATTTCCTTCACTTGTTTCAATGTGACCTATTCTGGCAGTATCCAAGTCTGAATGCTCCCTTGTTTGAAAGTGGTCTTCACAAAAGCCCACATTTTAAAGCTATTTGGAGGAGCACGGAGAACAGAGTGGTAATACGCCTTTCAGATCTTGGAAAGGTTGTACTTGTCCATATCAGGATTCTTGTTTTATACAGCATCTGCCACAAAATAGGCAAGGATACGTAAGACCTATTCTTTACGTAAAAGGGGAAGAAAATCCAGAAACACGACAACAAAGCTGCTCTAACAAATGCTCTAGAGAAAGCCACCCTAATGCACAAATAGCCCGGGCAACATGAGCAGGCATGAGGTACAGAGAGAATCCTTCTTTCCAGCTGCAGAACAGTAGCTGCGCTGGTACCATAGTCTTAGGACATAGAGAGGACAGAACTCCATATATAAAAGCGCACAGAAGGACAACATACTCAGAAAATTCAGAGACAGAGGTTGGCTAAGGGGATCAGTAAGGACTTGGTGTGGGGTGCAGATGAACAAGTGAGGTAAAAAGTCCAGGAGAGAAGGAATGCACACCTTCATTTCCAACCTCAGTAGCATCACCAGGAGCACTGTGTCAACACTTCAGGGTAATGTATTTCTCCATCTTTAAAGCCAAGGTGGCAAAAGCAAGCTTCGAGGGGCACTGAAAAGAGCAACAGTAATGGTGGGGTAGTATTTATTGCTGCTTCTAATTTTTCTTTCTAGTCATTTTAATTCTGAGGACACTCCTAACGCTGCTTGTCATGTCCCAGTTTAGCTAGTGTAGAGAGGTCCTAGCTCCTATATCCATTTTCTTATTTTCAATCCTAAAACCACAGTGAATTCAAACAGCCTCTGTAAAGCCTGTTTCCAAGGAGACAAGGTATTACATGAGTGGCAACAGTTCTAGCTTCTAGGCATACTGTATCACAAACACAAAATGACAGATCAGTTACGGTTTTAAAAATGAGCTTAAGCTGTTTTTTAACCTAGACAATGGAGCAGCTACTAAATCAATGGATCTTTCAAGAACATTCTATACCCCAGGAAGGAAAAAACAACAGAACAAGTTTCTTAGTCTTGTACAGGGCAAAAGAGGCCTATACTTGGCCTTAAGAAGCAGCTCTTTGGGCAAGGGAAGAGAAAAACAAAGAGGACTCCAACAAGGAATAGCAGGAAAGCCTACTAAAACAGGAGGGAAGGAAAAGCGAAGAAGTAGGGAAGACAATGAAATTTACACAGGAGGAAGGAGCTGAGAAAGTACCAGCCTTACACAGAGAGCTGGAAGCATCTTCCCACAGCCCCCGACTCAGCTCTCCCCACACAGGTCCTGGGGCAGCAGCATCCCATCCACACTCCTGGGAGGGCGTTCACTCTGCCTATTTCCTTCCTCGTTTGTGATTAGTCTTTGGGACCTTGGCCTTCTGGAACTGGGCTGGCACTGGCTCCTGCTCTGGCTCCTTACAGGAGGCTGACACTGTCAGGTCCTCATTGCTCCTCCTCTGATCCTTTCCTACTCTAACACTCAGCTCGGGGTCAGGAAGCTCAGGGCCAGGCTGCGGCCGCCTTCTCAGAGATCTTCGGCTCCGCTGCTGCTGCCTCCGCTTTTCCTCCTCTTGCTGCCGCTGCTTTATCTTCATCAGCTTCTCAAAACTTTTGGTTGTTGTTGGGTTTACAACAAACCAATCCTAGAGAGGCAAAATCGGAACATCATCAGGTCAGAAATATCAAGAGCATAAAGCAAGAGCAGAGGCAGAAGTTTTTAGGATAAAGGACTATCCAGGCCAGAATACACAAAAAGACACGGAACAGTATCTTAGAATTGTGCATTTTTTACCAGAAGAACTCAACATAGAGCAGCTCTAAAAAGTTAATACTGTTTTTGACAGGAGTGAGTGTTGATCATTTACTAAAGCGATCTACATGAGCCACATGAGGCTTTCCATTTCACAGTACTGTAGGGGTGAGGAACATGAATGCCGCTGCGGGATCCCCTGGGTGAAAATCCCAACTCTAGCTGTGTGCCCGCAGGCAAATGATTCAGCTTCTTTAGCACTCAATTTTAAGTTAAGGGGAGAGAACAGGAAAACCAGTCAGGAAGTACTTCTTGAATACTTGATTCACTTGAATTTAATCAAGTGATCTGCTCAGTCACATCTATCAACTTAAAGGACATAGCAAGGAGAGACCAACACCATCACAGGCTGTAATCAGGAGGCTCCAGAATGTGGACAACTATGACAAATGACATGGCTTTTTAAAAAGACCTTCAGAAAAGCTGTAAAGTGAGAGAGTTCACAAAAGTAAAGTGAACACTTGGATTTACAATGCTAATCTCTTCATTCTTTTCTTCTTTCCTTTTCTCTGGGTTGATCCACTTGCAGGCAGCCTGCACACATCATGACATTGCATAGTACAGGCTTAATTCGCATGCACCTGCCCAAGGACAAGGTGTTCTGCACAACTACAGTACGATGATCACATGTGGGTGATCAAATGTCGGAATGTCAACATTCATACCATTATTTAACAGTCTATTCTTATATCCCCAATTCTAAATGTATTTTAAAAAAAAGCTACTGGGGGCAGGGATTTGGAGTAGCACTTAAGACACCACTGGGGAAGCCCATTTTTGTATCAGAGTCCTTAGGTTTGAATCCCAACTCCAATCCTAACTGATTCCAGCTTCCTGCTAACATCCATCCTGGGAGGCAGGCATGAAGGCTCAAATAACTGGGTCCATGAAAGCCACAGGGGAGACCTGGACTGAGTTCCCAGCTCACAGATTCAGTCTGGCACAGCCTCAGCTGTTGCAGAAATTTGGGGAATTAATATGGATGGGAGATTCTCCCTCTTTCTCTCTGTAACTCTGCCTTTCAAATAAAAATAAATAAAGCTTAAAGCCTGAGGGAAAAAAATATATTAAAATTTGTTTCTGGGGCCTGGCGCAATAGCCTAATGGCTAAGGTCCTTGCATTGCATGTATTGGGAATAGGGGAGCTAGTTCTAATCCCAGTGGCTCCACTTCCCATCCAGCTCCCTGTTTGTGGCCTGGGAAAGCAGTGGAGAATGACCCAAAGCCTTGGGACTCTGCACCAGCATGGAAGACCTGGAAGAAGTTCCTGGATCCTGGCTTCAGATCGGCTCAGTTCTGGCTGTTGTGGTCACTTGGGGATTGAATCATTGGACAGAATATCTTCCTCTCTGTCTCCCCCCTCTGTGTATCTTCCAATAAAAATAAATCTTCAAAAATAAATAAACAAATTTTCCTTTGTAAAGTTTTATTTATTGGTAGTTTTCACTTGAAAGGCAGAACAAGAGAGAGACATTTTCCTCCACATCTGCTCCTTCCCTCCCCAGACCCCGACCCATGGTGGGGGCCATGCTAACAGCCCTCACCTGCTGCCTCCAGACTGCAGGTTAGCAGGAAGCAGGACCAGACGCAGAGTAGGGACCTGAACGCAGACTCTACAGGATGGGACACAGGCGCCCCCGCCAGCCAACATCTATCCCTACCAGTACACAATTTTCACAAACTTTCTGAAAATCCCTTATATAATTACTTACAGAGCGAATTTTACAGAGTATTTTTAATGCTAATGTCTCTGCTCTTTACAGTTCCTTAAGTTCATGGCTTACATACGGGGTCTACAAGATTGCAAAAACATGGTGAGCAAGCAGAGACCTCACCTCGGCGTGCACAGAGTTGATGTGATACTTGACACCACTCTCTGACACAAATTCTTTTTGACATAGAAGACACCTATATTTTCCAGCCACAAAGTTTCCCTATTTCCAAGAGAAACAGAAAACAGAATTATTAATAAAATCAACACAGACCTGGTCTGCTTGTAAAGATCATTAGTGAAAAGAAGAGATTCTATTTCGTCAAAGTTAAGGAAGAAAAAGATTTAAAACAGCTTATACACACACACACACACACACTCATATATACTTTGTCCAAATTGGACAAACAATCATCCAAATAAATCCTACAAAAGAAAGAAAACAAACACAAAAACAAAAACCAAATCCTAATCCTAATGCAATCCTTACCGAACACACACCACAGCTCCACCAGGGCCTCAAGTCCTCCCACTCTTCTTATGTCAGAAAGCACAATTCTATGCTTTCCTATGCTCCTTTCACTCCCAGGTTCTCCTGGTTTGTTCCCTAAAATAAGCCAGACTCCCCAAATTCACTGAATAACTGTTCCCACTATACTCCACTGTTGCAAAACATACCTCAGAAGTCCAGAATTAGAAGAGTAACATCGGGCTCAGCACAGTACCCTAGTGGCTAAAGTCCTCACCTTGCATGCAATGGCATTCCATATGGGCACCGGTTCTAATCTCGGCAGCCCCGCTTCCCATACAGTTCCCTACCATATGGGCACTGGTTCTAATCCCGGCAGCCCAGCTTCCCATACAGCCCCCTGCCTATGGCCTGGGAAAACAGTTGAGAACGGCCCAAAGACTTGGGGCCCTACAACCATGTGGGAGACCTGGAGGAAGCTCCTGGCTCCTGACTTTGGATTGCCTCAGTTCTGGCCATTGCGGCCACTTGGGGAGTGAATCAACAGATGGAAGATCTTCCTCTCTGTCTCTCCTCCTCTCTGTATATCTGACTTTCCAACTAAAAAAAAATTAATTAAGGAAAAAAAAAGAGTAACATCCGTAACACCTAGGTTAAGGATCAAGATGAGAAACTCCTCAGCAAGTCTGCACCAATGTTTTGATGCCTCTAACTCCATTGTTCAATTTTCTCCGCCCCCAGCCCCTGCGCCCTCCCGCAGGCTTGAGGTTGCCATGGTGCTCATTTTGGGTGAGGAGACATTGCTGAATGGGACTGGAAAATGGTAGCAATTCCCTTGACTAGTGGGTTGTAGGACAGCTGGGTCAACATGGAAAAGATTCAGTGAAGTGAATGGCTGTTAGACTGGCACCTTTCCCACCTCCCCTCCCCAGAGGCCAGGGAAATTCAAATGAGTTTAGAGGGTCTTCATGAACCCTGAGAGAAAAATGCATGTTAAGCTCATTCTCAGAAGAGCAAGGCCCAATGAGATTGGGCAGATCCAGAGAGGGAGAGCCTCCGGAAGAAAGTGAGTCCCTGGGAAGGACTCAGAACTCAGACATTTTTCCTCCTGTTTCTCAACTGGTAAGACTTACAGGTTGTGGGCCTGGCATGATAGCGTAGTGGTTAAAGTCCTCGCCTTGCACGCACAGGGATCCCATATGGGCGCCAGTTCTAATCCCGGCAGCTCCACTTCCCATTGAACTCCCTGCTTGTAGCCTGGGAAGGCAGCAGAGGACGGCCCAAAGCCTTGGGACCCTGCACCCATGTGGGACACCCGGAAGAGCTTCTGGCTCGTGGCTTGGGACTGGCTCAGCTCCAGCCATTGCAGCCACTTGCGGGGCGAATCATTGGACGAAGATCTTCCTCTCTGTCTCTCCTCTTCTCTATATATCCGCCTTTCCAATGAAAATAAATAAATCTTAAAAAAAAAAAAAGACTTATAGGTTGTGTTGGCTTTTATGTATTCTTAGACATATTCTGGCATCCTACCCAGTAACACAGCAAAAATCTGAAGCACCCTCAGAGGCAACAGTAACCAGGATGACCAACTGTTCACCTAAACTGAATCCTCTTCCATGTCAGACTATTTTGAAGGATATGTTAACATTAAGTTTAAACAGTTACAAACCAATGTGCAAGAGCCCAGGTGAGCTTTAAGACCAGACACACTACTGTAGACGGCCTCACAACCCTGAAAAGGAGAAAAGAGAATGTGAACACGATGTCCAACAGCATCCAGCTCAACACAAGCCATCTAGTTATTCATGCCGGTCCACCACACATATGTGGAGGGAAAAGACAAATGGTTACACAAATTGAACCAAAAAGGACTCCACGAACAAGTCAAGGAGAGGTACAATAAAAAGGAAAAGGTGAACATGCTTTTTACAAATACATGATTCTGTTCCCTGGCACTCTCTCTGGCACTCAAGGGAAATAGAAAAACTGGAAGGTTGTTTTAAAACTACTTTAATAGTGACAATGTCTCCGTTTACAGTCCCTCGCCATGGAGTGCTGCCTACACAGGCATGGCAGTGTCAAGAGGCCTGAAGCCTCTGCCACCATGGACAGCCTGCCCTCCCTCGGAAGCTGCACTTGCCCTTTGATTCCTTTGATCGATACAATGCCATAAAAGCCACTACAAAAAATCTGCATTGACAGAAAAGACAAGTCAGTTGCTTGGGAGTCCAGCTACCCCGCAGAAGACAGGCCACAGGCAAAGCCAAGGACCCTGCCAGGTGAGGTTGCAGAGAAGCCAATGAGAGTCCCAGCTGAGATTTCTGCTGAACGCACTCCTAGAGGTATTCCCAGCTGACACCACATACCACAGCAGAAATATCCTGCTGGCCTCTGGAAGAATCACTGATCCAGAGACTTGTGGACAAAGTAATGATTGCTTTAAGACACCAAGATTTAGGTTTTTCATCACAAAGGAATAAACACTGAAACGAGCAAATGCTAGACCAACAATTACTGAACACATGGGTACCTGGTTAGGACACTGAATACGATGGTACTTCTTGATATCTGACTTCCATTTGTGCAGCACTTCCTGGCTGAAGGTAGGGAGCCCAGGACGAGTGTATTTTAACTACAAGACAAGAAATATTTTATAATTAAAGGAATCCAACACCCAACCGGAATATCACAAAGCTTCATATCTAATTTCTCATGTTACATAATTCTGGCATCTACAAATGTAATTTCATATATAAAAAACTGAAGACATAAGATCCTCTTAAGTTCCTGAATGACTAGATGTGTATAACCAACTGCTGTTTAGTCTCAGAAAAACCTGACTTTCAGCAAAGGACCAAATATAATGATCTACAGTTAGAGGGAAAAAAAAAATCAGAGCAGTAAACAAAGGCCAATTTTTTTTTGTTGTTAAAAGGTAAAATATGTATTTGCACATTTAACAGAAATATATGAATAAAATGCAGGCCAATATGTTAACTCACATAGTTTGTAGTTGGTACAGAATTTTTTAATGGTTTTAATATTTTTTTCCTGGCTCTCTTAATTCCTAGCATTTCCTTAATGATTGTATGCCTTTTTCACTATTTTTAATTTCATTTTTTTTCAAAGATGTATTTGTTTTTATTGCAAAGTCATATACACAGAGAGGAAAAGAGACAGAGAAGAAGATCTTCCGTCCAATGATTCACTCCCTAAGTGACCTGAACGGCAGGTGCTGCATTGATCCGAACCCAGGAGCCCAGATCCTCTTCTGGGTCTCCCATGCGGTGCAGGGTCCCAAGGCTTTGGGCCATCCTTAATTGCTTTCCTAGGCCACAAACAAGGAGCTGGATGAGAAGTGGAGCTGCCGGGATTAGAACCGGCGCCCATATGGGATCCCTGTCCGTTCAAGGCAAGGACTTCAGCCACTAGGCCACTGCACCAGACCCTCAATTTTTTAAAGATCTATTTATTTTTATTGGAAAGTCAGATTTACAGAGAGGAGAGACAGAAAGAAAGATCCTTTATTTGCTGGTTTACTCCTCAAGTGGCACCAAAGGCTGGAGCTGAGGTGATCCAAAGCCAGGAGCCAGCAGCTTCTTCTGGGTCTCTTGTAGGAGGACAATTGATTGGATCTATAGGATTAGTTCACAAAACAGAGAGATATCTCCAGGCAAGGTGTGAGAACTGCATAATCTATATGTAAATTTCTCAAACCCTCCTCCCTTATCCCATGTGACCCTCAGTCTACAAAAGCCTGATACTACTAACAAACTTAGGCTGTTGACTGACAGTCAGTAATCCAGGTATGATTATCATCTCCATGCACCAAGGTCATGCTGCCAGACAGCGAACAGTCTCCCACGCAAGGGCAGGGTCCCAAGGCTTTGGCCCATCCTCTGCTGCTTTCCCAGGCCACAAGCAGGGAGCTGGAGGGAAGTGGAACAGCTGGGACATGAACTGGCACCCATAAGGAATCCTGGTGCTTACAAGGTGAGGATTTAGCTTTTGAGCCATAATACCTAGTCCTCTGAAACTCTTGTTGCTATCCTGGATAATAATAGGTCCTTAACTCTAACCTTAGTCTTTGTGTTATATATCCAGTCAATGCTTTACCAGCACTACCACAGAGTCATATACCCAGCTTCCTTTTTGCTTAATGAATGCTCCTCCCCTGTAAGATCTATTATAATCCAAGGGCTTTCAAACGGGCCCTGCGCCCCTCAGAAGCATGCTTGAAAACATGTAAGAGAATGACTAACGCAACAAGCAGAAAGCCAAGTAAAAAGCCTTCTTTGGGCTTGTCATCCCCAGTTACTTGGAGCAAATAAGTTTTTAGTTATTTTATACACTGATGTTTTTCTCAACTTTAATTTTGAAACAAAACGGAGAACAATAAAAACAAACTGAAACCACTTAACCAAATAGCAAGTATGTATGCACTAACACATGGACACACTCAACAGAAACTGAAGCTGGGAATTTGGGCTCTCTCTGGAAGTGGTCTAGAATTAAAGAGGGAACCTTAAGGAACTTTTGAAATACAACGTCCTTCTAGGACATTCCTTGAATTCAAACCTGATGCTGGCTCAAACATAATCCATCTCCGAGGAAAAAGCAGTAAATACTGCTTATCATGCACACATTCCAGTGAATTGACCTTGCTTTACACAGTAAAGCACAATGTCAAACACAATGGTTTCACAATCAGTACGGGTCACCACATCACCTTCCGATCGTCGGGGACCAGATCCTGAAGCACCTTCCTCTTGGGCCACTCCTTGGCCAGTTCGGCAGAGGCTAGCTCCTGCAGGTGGTACACTGCGATTTTGGCAGACCGTCTCTGAACTCGGCCCCCACTCTTTGGCTCCAGGCTCATGTCCTTTAAGCACTCTGCCTGTCCCGATTCTGGAAAGAAGGAGATCTGCAAGAGTGAGACAGAGCAAAACACAGGCCTGGTAAGTGGCTTTCATCACAGCCAACGACGAAACGCTGCTCTGAGAATCAAAAGAGCTATTGATAAGCTTCCTGATCACCAAAATTAAGCTCCATCATATTAACGCACATTTTATTGGCACAGAAAAGCATCGTAACAGGATAAAAGCAGTTCTTTTGTAGTAAAAGTGGCTAAGTTTGAACACACTCAATCCATAATTCACAACACAGTAAAAATATTAGCTGTAAATAGATCATAGTCATAAGTGCATGATATAAAACTTTCTCAAAGAAAGCATGGGAGAACATTTTTGTGATCCTAGATGTGAAGCTAACAGGTACTTAAAAAAGTTTGTGGAAAATGAAATTTCAAAGGGTATTTTTGTACAAAGACTTTTTAAATCCACGCATATAAGTATTTACGTAAGAGAATTTAAAATTTATGTTCACATTAAAAACAATTATGTAGGGTCCGGCACAATAGCCTAGCGGCTACAGCGCTTGCCTCACCTTACATGTATATAGTCAGATAACTGCTATACCATCAAAACAGAGAAAAGGGCCTGGCGCGATAGCCTAATGACTAAAGTCCTCGCCTTGAACATGCTGGGATCTCATATGGGTGCTGATTCTAATCCCAGCAGCCCCGCTTCTCATTCAGCTCCCTGTTTGTGGCCTGGGAAAGCAGTCAAGGACGGCCCCAAGTCTTGTGACCCTGCATGGGAGACCAGGAAGAAGCTCCTGGCTCCTGGCTTCGGACTGGCTCAGCTCTAGCTGTTGCGGTCACTTGGAAAGTGAACTATCGGATGGAAGATCTTCCTCTCTGGCTCTCTTCTCAGCATATCTGCCTTTCCAATAAAAATAAACAAATCTTAAAAAAAAAACTCACGTAAATGTTTATACCAGCTTTAGTCACAACTGCCAAAAACTGGGCGTAACTCCAATGTCCTTCAATTGAAGAAGACAATCAACAAGTGAAGCATGAATACAATGGAATCCTGGTCAGAAATACACAGGAATTAGTGACACATGCCAACACGTGGGTGAATCTCACATGCTTTATCCTAAGTAGAAGAAGCTGGATTCAAAAGGATACAGATGGCCTAAACAAGGCAAAACAACAGGGACAGAAAGATCAGTGGCTGCCGGGGCAATAAGAACTAACTTCAGAGGACATCAAGGCTATCTTTGAAAAAGACTCATCTATGTATTTGGAAGATAGAGTTAGAGAAAGAGAAAGAGACAGAGAGAGCTTCCATGTGCTAGCTCACTCCCAAAACGGCTGTAAGGGCTGGGGCCGAACCAGGCCCATATTTACAGTGGAGCCCAGAACTCCACTCAGGTCTCGCACAGGAGAGCAGGGTCCGAGGATTTGGGTCACCCGCTGCTGCCTTTCCAGGGCGTTAGCAAAGAGCTGGACGACAAGCAGAGCAGCTAGGCGTCAACCCGTGCTCACACGAGATGCTGCAATCACAGGTGGCACATTACATACAGCCACGCGGTGAAAGTGCCGACACAAGGCATTTTGAAAAGGGACAGAATTTTTCTCTCCTTTTTTTTTTCAAGATTTATTTACTTTTTATTGGAAAGACAGATATACAGAAAGAAGGAGGGGCAGAAAGGAAGATCTTTCGTCTGATGGTACACTTCCCAAGTGGTCACAACAACTAGAGCTGAGCCAATCCGAAGCCAGGAGCCAGGAGCTTCTTCCAGGTCTTCCACACAGGTGCAGGGTCCCAAGTCTTTGGGCCATCCTCGACTGCTTTCCCAGGCCGCAAGCAGGGAGCTGGATGGGAAGCATGGCTACTGGTATTAGAACTGTCATGCATATAGGATTCCTGCGTGTTCAAGGTGAGGACTTTAGCCATTAGGCTATCGTGCCAGACCCTTTTCTCTGTCTTAATGGTAGTAGTAGTTACCTGACCATATACATGTATCAAAACTCAATATTGAACATTGAAAAGACAAATACAAATGCATGCACATAACACTTTAACAAAAATGATTATTAAAAAAAAAAACAACACACACACAAATAGGACAGGAAGGCTAGAAAATATAATCGGGATGGTGAAGTGGGGAATGGAATTGATGAACCAGTTAAACAGATTCAAACAAAATTTTTAGCTAAAGGGGAAGCTTTTGGTTTTAAAGAGTTTACTTCTCCATGGATATACTTTGAACTTTGACTTTTATAACCTAATAACATTCAAAAGGGAGAAATCAAGTAAAGAACAAGGAAAAGAGAAGCAAAGCATTTGAAGATTTAAAGGGGATATACATGTCAAAATGCTGCACAGTGGCCCATAAATATGTACAACTATTGTGATGAAGGATTTTTTTTTTTTTTTTAAAAAGAGAGGAGGGTACAGGCAAGGAACCAAAAATACCTGGTCTGGCAGAGGGGTGAGCACTCACCATGAATGCAGCCCCACACACAGTCTAGGAAGGAGCAGGCAGTACTCACGGGCCCGTGCTCTGACCTCAGGTGATACGCCAGGCCAGCCTTCGATCTGTACGGCTTTGCACAGTGGTGACATTTCAGGGTCATCTTCTCCAGTTCTGCAGCCCCTTTGCCGCATTTTCTGACATGGTACAGATACCCCATGATGCTGGTGAAGCTACTGGAGCAACTCTGAACACAGAAAAGGAAGCCTTTAGAATCTTACATTTTTTGGCTTCTTCTGTAATTTAAAAAAAAAATTTTTTTTAATATTTTTCTTCTCTTTATTTATCTGAAAGGCACACAGAAAGCAAAGGAGCGAGAGGGAGAGAGAGAGACCAAGACCTTCCACATGCTGCTCACTCTCTGAAAGGCCAACATGGCCAGGGCCGCACCAGGCCAAACAAGAAACCTGGAACTTCCTTCAGCTCTCACACATGGGTGAAGGGTACAAGCTCTCGGGTCACCTCCTCCAGGCACAGGAGGGAGCTGGGGTGTTAAGTAAAGCAGCTGAGATTCAAACCAGTGCCCATGTGGGATGCTGCTGTTGCAGGCAGCTTAACCCATCATACCACAACGCCAGCATCTCTGTTTTCTTGTTGTCTTCTAAAGATTTTCTTATTTACTTATTTGAAAGGCAGAATGACAGCGACAGAGAAAGAGCGCAACCATCTGCTGGGTCACTCCCCAGATGGCGGCAACAGCTGAGGCTTTTCCAAGCCAAAACCAGGAACGTGGAATTTTATCCAAGTCTCTCATGAGGGTGACAAGGGCCTGGGCACTTAGACGGTCTTCCACTGCTTTCTCATAGACACTGGGTCAGGGAGCTGAATTAGAAGCAAAGTAGCTGGGACTCGAATCAACACTCTGATTTGGGATGTCAGAATCAAAAGTGGTGACTTAACCTAATGCAATACAATGCTGGCTCCGTGATAATACAAATTTCTAGTCTGCCACAAAATACCACCACAAAATACAAAAAGACCTTGTGATATCACAAGACCCTCTCTAACATTTCCCATTGGTGCAACCCTTTCTTATTCCTGGCTGTCCTGTCTATGACTAAATATGATATTCTATCAGTGTGGTTAGCATTTGATTAACTACCCTGTGTAAAGGACTTCTCTTTGGTCTGTGATCCAGCCCTAGCCCACTATTAAATACCCAGCAACATCAACAGTGAGGTTACTGGGAACCTCTTCATCACACCAAAGAGAGTGAGGCAAGGAAACCTCACTGAACTAAAGACAATTAAATTTTTGGAGTTGATAAAATTAAAAACCATTAATGTATTTGAGACACCTGAAAAACCAGGAGCCACTTTTATGCCATTAAGACAGCATAAAAGTAGGAGTTCCCACAGGGAAAAAAAGGAGAAATGAAACACTAAAGCCATCGGCCTGTATTTTGCTCTTACCTCGCGCATGCACCTGAGCTTCCCCAGTCTCTTCAGAACTGTTCGGAGCCGTTCCCTTTCACTTGGCTCATCTATTTCATCACCAGCTTTCAAAATGGGCTAGAAATCAAGAGAAGAAAACAGGAAGGTGACTCATGGAAAAGAGACACACTGGGAAGAAATCATGAAGAATTAAGGACTACAATAACAATTAAGCTGATGCCCAAAAAAGTTCAAGGCAGCTGACTGTTGGCTCTCCTCAATTTCTCCAGAACAGGCAAAAGTGAAAACAATGGAAGTAAGAGTTTTGAGTCTCCACTTCCCAGGATATAAACCTTTAGGACTAACAAAACCTACTGATCCACCACAAAGGTTTCCTGGTGTAGGTCTTCTATCAAAGGGATCTTCTTCCTCACATAGGCCCCAGGTCCCAGAGCCTAAGCCATCTGCACCAAGCTATCATACTCACCTAAATAGACACCCAACACCACAAAGGCTCATAAACAACAAAAGATATTCTCACCAAGCTATTATGATTTGCCATGACGTGATACTTCATGCCTGCCAGTGAACGCAGTTGTTTCCCACAATGATGACAAGTAAACATTTCCTAAAAGAAAGCAACATTCTGCTCAAGGTTGAGCCATATATCAGAGAAGCAGAATACCTATACCTGCCAAGGAATGGCCTGGGCACTCAGTATGTATCACTTCTCCATCAACCTCTCATGGGCTACATGGATCATTGTATCTTTCTTCACCATTTCTCAAATGAGGACACTGAAGTCCAACACAGAAAATTCAATGTCACAGATAGTGGGAGGCAAAGTGAGAACTCACGCCTGAGACTTTCGCATTCAAGCCTATTTCCCTATAGCACCATGCTGCCATTTACCCACTATAACCCAACAGAACAGGGATGTGAAATTCCACAAAACATCTAACCTGTTTACAGTTCTCCATGTGTTTCTTTAAACCCTCTATAGTCTTCCTCCCAACCGCCTGGCAGGTAGGACAAGAGACGCTGCCTTTATCCACAATTTCCAAGTACCACTGCTCTTCCAAACTGCCTACAAAGGAGAGAAGGGAACACTCAGTCATCTGCAGCATCCTCCAAGAACAAAAGTAAAATCCTACAACTTTAAAACGATTAGAGAAAAGGTTTGTTCTTTCCTGGTAAGCAATCATGAAGAGATTTTACTGTGGGTAACTTCTAAAAGTGTTTTTTTTTCCCCTCAGATAAGATATTTCTGAGATTCCTACTCATTTCCTCTGGAGAACCAGTCCAAAGTTCAGTAGTTATAAAGAACAGGCCAGGGAATGACACTGTAGCATAGCAAGGTAAGCTCTACCTGCAGCGCCAGCACCCCATACAGGCACTAGTTCAAGTTCCAGTTGCTCTACTTCTGATCCAGCTCCCTGCTAATGTGCCTGGGAAGGCAGCAAAAGATGGCCCAAGTGCTTGGGCCCTTGCACCTACAAGGGAGACCCAGAAGAAGTTCCTGGCTTCTGGTTTTAGACTAAATGGTCCACTATTGGGACCATTTAGGGAGTGAGCCAGTGGACAAAAGATCTCTCTTTCTGTTTCTTTTTCTTTCTATATTATAACTCTTAAAAAAAAAAGAAACAAAGAAACAAAAGAAAAAAGGACAGCACTTTTTACAGAGCATGTAATAACAGGATATATAACAGCCAGTTTGCTAAATGTTCCTTAAGTATATAACACCATGCTAAAAGTTTTTTTTTTTATCTCACTTAATTGTCTCTGTAACTCTGACTGCCTCTGTTATCCCTATGTATAGGCAGGAAAATGGATCTTGCAAAAATTTAAAAATTCGAGGCAGGTCAGAAAGTTAACAAAGAGCCAAAATTGAAACAAATGTCTGCCTGACCTCTAAACTCAGGCCTCCTTGAAGAATTCTCTAGGACTTCATTCCTTCTAGGCAACAGCAAGTCCCAGCCGGAGAATGACATCCCACCAGGTATCCAACAAAGAGCATACCTGCTGCATAAACTGGCGGCTCCTTCCGAATGCGACGAGGCTGAGGTTTGGGACTAGGCTGAGTTTTTGGCCGCTGCTTCCTCCCTAGTTCAAGACAGAAACTTGAAGCCCAACAGATCACCTCTGCTAACCCCACTCTGGTGCCACAATCTCCTTCCTCCCCTTTTTCTCAATACCTGCTACCCCACTCCCTGCACCGACTCCTGTGAGTCTTGAATGTTCACAGTGTAAAACAAGGTGGAAACAAGGCATTCTCTGCCTCCTCCAGGTCCTGAGGGCTCGGAGCCTCTCAAGGGCTCTCCCTGAAGCCTCTCTCCCCTTCCTCATCCAAGAATAAAGCCCAGTCACCCACTGGCAAAAACAAACAGCAAAGTTACTCCCTTACCATAAAGCTTATGCTTCTTCTGCGGAAACTCCCGATAGTCGTCATCTTCCTCCTGCCTGGGTTTCCTTTTCCCTTTGGTTGCTACAGCACCTGACCCTGAAATACCATAAGGAAAAGAGAGTAGGTCCACTCTGTAAATGAACCTCGGGTCTCCCTTTAAAACAGTATTCATGGCAAAAGCAGATGGCAGCCAGGGAGCACAGGCTTTCTTTCCAGAACCGTGTGACATTTGCAGGGGAGCAGATGCCAATGGCTCACTGGCTGCCTTACCCTTCCCACTGTCTTTTGGATTGTTCCCCAACGTACAAATAAAAAGGTCCTTTGAATAATAGGCCTTGTTTGAGCCTGAGCTTGACTTGAAGATAACACTAAAGCAGAGCAGCTCAAGAGAGAGGTCTACCTAAGACCTTTGACATAGTGACCATCTAGAATATTCTATCCTGAACAATCCTTGCACTGGCACTAAATCCTCCAACAGAAGGCCAAACCAGAGGAACTGGAAAGAAGTTCAGAGGCTTTGAAACAGAAAGACTGAAGCTAACGACCCCTGAGGAGAAAGAGCAACAGAATTTTATTCATTCAAGAAATTCACTAAATGTGACACCCAAATGCTTTCAAATTTTTAAATACAATCACAAATGGAAGCTTATGTGGCAATTATTCCATCTTGAGCCACTTGGACCAGTTACTTCCGGCTTTAGAGAACACACTTGTGGAATGCGACGGACACTGATACCTTCAACGTGAGCAGCAGCAGTCGCTTTGATCCTTCTCATCTTCATCCAGTAAGTGGATTTTCGGAATGAGGCTGGAAAATCACTCACTGGTTCACAGGAAGAGGCAGATGAAGAGCCACTTAAGGAGTCATCATGAGGGATAGTGTACTGGAAACTGTTGTCCTTTATGGAGCACTGAGTCCTGCTACGAACACAACACAAAAGATATACGGCACAAGTGTGAGTCAGGAGTAAAATGGTCTATCCAGTCTGCCACAAGACGATAACCAAGTTGGTTAGCTATGTAAAAAACTAAGAAATCTTACATAAAAACAGAAAGTAGATTGTAATCTCAATTACAGTGGCTGATCTATCCCAACATATGGTTAATACTCTTTCATTATAATCAGAAAAAGTAAGCAATGCATATACAAATGATTACTTTGTAGATGAGATACAAAGCCCTTAGATTTATCTGAGAAAAGCCAGGAGGCAAAGTAAGAGGGTGTTCTGCCACAGTTCCGAAGTCTGTAGATCTGTACCCAAGTGTGCCCAATCATTCCCATCGCTCTGTTAAAGGAACAGTAACTAAAAGGTATCCCTGGGATCACAGAGGGAAAGAATAGTTTGCAGGACCAAATCCTACCATCTTCCTTCTCCCTCGCTTTATCCCTTAACCCTGACGCCCTGTCTTCTACAGGTAATAAAATACTTAAACTTCACAGCTGGAGGAAGGGTGCTCTTTTGCCTAAGGTAAGCTGGTCAGAGAATTCTGGTATGTCGTTAGGTTCAAGCTGCCACATCTGAGACCAGTGGGTGTGTCAAATAACAAATATTACCAAGTGACTACAAAGAACCACACGTTCTGCTTGGCTTAAGATGCAGTAAAGCAGAATCCCCAGCACTTCCCATGCCCAGCTACATATCTGCTTTACATTCGGAGTTTACCAGGATTACTGTGGCTGCTGAGCTTAACATGCTCCACACTGCAGAATAAACAAAGGGAGAAGAGACAACTTGTTGCCATGGCAGACAAGAAATGAGGTGGGCTGTCTGTAACATTTTGTAGCAGAGAGGTGAAGTTTTGTAGTAGAGAAGACAAGTTCCCAGAGCGAAGTTAATACTCTCAGAAGTAGATATTACTCTGCTCAGAACTACAAATGGAAGTTGGCTTGTAAGACAGGGCGCTGGAAGTAACAGTGGTGACCAGCTTAAGAAAACACATAGATTGGGCCCAGACACAGTAGCTAATGGCTAAAGTCCTCGCCTTGATTGCACCAGGATCCCATATGGGTACCTGTTCTAATCCTACGCGCCCCGCTTCCCACCCAGTTCCCTGCTTGTGGCCTGGGAAAACAGTACATCCTAAAGTCTTGAGACCCAGCACCGAGGTGAGAGAACAGGAAGAGGCTCCTGGCTGCTGGCTTCGGATCAGTGCAGCACCAGCCATTGCTGCTGCTTAGGGAGCCAATCAACGACCAGATCTTCCTCTCCGTCTCTCCTCCTCTCAGTATATCTGACTTTCCAATTAAAATAAATAAACCTTAAAAAAGAGAGAGAGAGAGAGAGAAAGAAAACACATAAACTGAACTTGGCTCAACGGCTCAACTGGTTAATCCTCTACTTGTAAGTGCCAGGATCCTATAGGGGGCTGGTTCATGTCCTGGTTGCTCCACTTCCCATCTAGCTCCCTGCTTCTAGCTTGGGGAAGCAGCAGAGAATGGTCCAAAGCCTTGGGATCCTGCACCATGTGGGAGATCAGGAAGAAAATCCTGGCTCCTGGCTTCAGATTGCCTCAGCTTTGGCTGTTGCAGCCAGTTGAGGAGTGAACCAGCAGATGAAGATCTTTCTACTTCTCTCTGCCTTCCCAGTAAAAATAATTAAAAAAAAAAGAAGGGGGAAAAAACACACACACACAAACTGTGGTAGATGCCTACAATGGAATACCAGTTAGCTGCTGAAGTGACAAACCAATTCTACCCTTGATGCCATAAACATAACTAAAAACCATACTACTAAATCGAATCATAAACGAGACAGGCTCACTAGTACAATGCTATTTCAGCACATTAAAAACAAATGCATGTGGAAAACTGTGTTATGTTAAAAGGATTTATAAATTTCTTTTTTAAAAAAGATTTGTTTATTTTTATTACAAAGATATATAGAGAGGAGGAGAGATAAACAGGAAGATCTTCCATCCGATGATTCACTCCCCAAGTGACCACAATGGCTGGTGCTGTGCCGATCCAGGGCCAGGAGCTAGGAACTTGCTCCAGGTCTCCCACACAGGAGCAGGATCCCAAAGCATTGGGCCGTCCTCAACTGCCTTCCCAGTCCACAAGCAGGGAGCTGGATGGGAAGTGGAACAGCCAGGATTAGAACCGGCGCCCATATGGGATCTGGCGCGTTCAAGGCGAGGACCTTGGCTGCTAGGCCATGCTGCCGGGACCAGGATTTATAAATTTCTAAGGACAAACATCACATCTGTTAACACGGCTTCCTCTGAGAGGGAAGGGATGGTTTGGGAATGCAACAAACATAGTGGAGACGGATGGTGTCAGTAAGCCACAAAAAGTGAAGAATGACCTTTGGCTCTCTACATGAGGTCTGGTACCAACCTAATACAGAGAAATCCTGGCTCTGGCATGGTACACAAGGTCACCACAGACCATCCCTACTGCTGATAATAACTACAAAACTGGGACTCTAAGAAGCAAACAAGCGGATTGTGTAGGGGCAGTCCTGGGGAACGACACCTGTGGGGTGAGTTTCCCATTTGTGTTTTTGTGGCTTAGCAATGAGTGGATCCCTCTTGCAGAGCAGCATGGGCAGCTGAGACTGCAATACAAATCCCATCTTCTTGTCAAACAGGAAAAGATGTTTCTGTGGGCCAGAGTGTGGTAGAATGTGAAGGCATCCCAGGGAGGAGACTGGGAAAGAAGGAAAATTGTATAATGCCTGGCAAAGACTTTCAGGAAAGACTTTAAAAACAAATAAAATCTGAATAGCCAAAGCTCAGAGAACTGAAACATAATTAGAAACATGATTAGAATATCCCTTGAGTTACGTGCTGGACAACCCAAATTATCACAGCAAAGACAAAAAGAACACAAAAATAATCAAGCTTTCGAAACAGTGCCCTAAAAAAGCAAGACATAATTCACACTCCAAACTTAAGTGGTTGTCTCCTAAAACAACATCAGCAACATTCACAAAAGTAAGAAAACCCCAAATCTACATCAATAATATTTACAGTGCTGAGGTTAACTTACAAAAGTATGCAACATACAAAGAAGCAGAGAAATGTGAGCAATTCTGAAAGGACCAGATAATGAACAGACATCAAAAACAAGACGAGCTACATGTTGGAATTATCAAACCCTTTAAACAGTAAAATACATATAAAAGAAAGTATACATGGCACCTGCATTGTGTGACATGGTGGGAAGAGCCGCTGCCTGAGGTGCCACTGTCCCCAAAGGGCCCCAGCTCATGACCCAGCTGCTCCAGTTCTGTTCCAGCTCCCTACTTACATCCTGGGAAAAGCAGCAGACGGTGGCTCTAATGTTTGGGCCCCTGCCACCCACACGGGCGACCAGATTACGCTCCTGGATCCTGGCTTCAGCCTTGTTCAGCTGGCCATTGCAGCCATCTGGAGAATAAACCAGCAGATGAAATTTCATTGTCCCTCACCTCCCATACCCTGCCACCTGGTAAACTCTTGACTTTAAAATAAACATATCTTTAAAGGGAAAAAAAAAAAGGAAACACAAACGAAATGAAGAAAAAGGTAAAACTTATCAGCAAAGAAGCAGAAACCATAAAAAAAAAAAAACTAAATGAGACTTCAGAACTCAAAAATATATCTGAAATAAAGTTCAGCAGTAGGGCCAATAGGAGGACCCACCACAACGACTCAATTAGCTAATCCTCCCCCTTCAAGCGCCAGAATCCCATATGGGCACCAGGTCATGTCCTAGCTGTTCCATTCCCCATCCAGCACCCAACCTATGGACTAAGAAAGCAGTAGAGGATGGCCCAAACCTTGGGACTCTGTACCCATGTGGGAGAACCAGAAGAAACTACAGACTCCTGGCTTTGAATTGGCTTTACTCTGGCCATTATGGCCACATGGGGAATGAACCGCAGAAGGAAGATCTTTGTCTCTCCTTTTCTTTGTAAATCTTACTTTCCAACAAAAATAAATGAATCTTAAAAAAAAAAGTTCAATAGCAGAATGGAGATAACAAAACAAAAACACCCCACAATGTCACGTGCTGAAGGAGATGAGCCATGTCGGGTGGAGACGGAAGTGATGAGTACCAAGTAAAAAGTACCTGTTCCACTGCCCCTGGAAAACCAGGCAGCAGAACCTCCTTCCACCATGTTATCTCCATTGCGTGAGCAGTAAGCCCCAGTAAATGTTATCTGAATTGTGTGTTGGTCTTCTGTCAGTTTCTACTTGCACCTGAGCCGAAGAACCTAGGAGGGTTGGCAACATACCTGGCAACTCTGGTGGGACCAGATCAGTGGGAGGACTGATGGACACCTGCACCTTTGCTTCAGGGTCTCTGCAACAGGTGAGCTCTCCTCTGCTCTCCCAGCACCCCCATCCCTCCCACTCAGGGGTTCTCTCTCCTCCTTGCTTAGCTCCATCTTGTTCCCCTCTTACTCCTCTGGGTCTGGTTTTTTTTTTTTTTTTTTCTTGCTTGGTTACAGTTTTATTTTTGTTTTTCCAGTCTGAGCAATCTTTACAGATCCCAACATGGGACAGGTTCAAATGACACATGTGGGATGGTATGAGCAGCCTACCACATCCACGACAGCTCCTAATCTCTCTGGCCAGTGCTAGATGAGATAGGCCTCTCATCCCCAGTCTCTGGCAGAACTGAGTAGAACTGACTGACTCCAGGAACTGCAATTTTTGGTCTTGGTTTAATCCTTTCTGAGAACTCCTTCCAGCCCTCATCTCTTTATTCTATAGTCTCGCCTCCCCAGGACATCAACTCACACCTCTGCATCAGCAGCGGGCGGGTGGGACCTGCCTCCACCGTGCAGATTCAAAGGGTTCCTGCACAACAATTCCATACTGCGAAGGAGTCCACAGGGGCATCTTTGTGGTCTGTCCTCCTTTGAGCAAGCCTTTTCCCTCTCTGATCTCTTGTGTGTCTTTCCTCCCTGCTGCTTGCACCTGCAGGTGGA